CAAAAACATGAAAATTCTTAATGGAGTACCCTCATTTTTTTATTGAATTCTTAAAAACCAATATTTATAATGAATTTTAATAATTTTTTCGAATTTTTTTTAAGCTTTATTCTGATCGATTCACCCGATTTCCGATCCGGATCACCGATTCGCCGATCCAGATCGGTTTTTTGGAAGCCCGATCCGGATCACCGATCTATTTTTTAAACCATTGGCCGACTCAATAGAATTGTTTACTAGTTAGAAATATTATAAAATCCAAATTTAATTGATTTATAAAAAATTGATATATAATATAAATTTCGATAGAACGGTTGAATAGGTGTGAATATCGAGATTTTGGTCCTCGTCTGAGTGCCTGTCATATTACAATAAAAAGAATGCATTAACATTCAATAAGTACATTCGTACTATTGAATAAAAGTCAATATTACATATAGATAAGCCAATATATACGGTATAAAACCAAACGAAAAGATGACTCCGGGTCGACTCAACCACCGCAACCAACGACTTAACGTAGATTGAGGAACAAAATCTAACATAAAATTTATCAATTTGCAATAAAATAAGATGTATTAAAGATTTGAAGCATTTTATAGAAAAATTAGATAACAAATGAACAAAAGCAACCTTACCTCTACAGCTACGGATGTTCCTCAAAACTCCATCGAAAAAGATAGTTTTAATGTTGAAAAACCCTTTGATTGATCATCTCAACATCGAGATGTATGATCATGAAAAACAAAAGTATTTTAAGTATAAAAAATAATGCATTTTACAACATATTATCTATACTGTCCATTTTCAAAAATTTCATATGTTTATAGATCTACTTGATTTTAACCATTTTTAAAAATTAAAATTTTATAATTAGATATAAAAATAGATTTTGAGATAATCCTAAGAACATTTGACATCAGAATTATATACCATGATAAATTTTGAAGGTGCACTTTACCTCTACAGTTAACGACGCATCCGTATGCCACCTGCACCCTTTTAAAAAAGGATGGTCTACAAAGAGATTATTTATCTTTTGTACATAGAGGTCACAATCATTATTGTCCCTTAAATATCAAATTGGGGATTGTACGAGTGTCACACACAAGTTCCAAAAAAAATTGCAGACCTTCACACTCCAAACTATTCAATTTGATATTTAATAAGTGATAATAATTGTGACTTCCATATACAAAAGATAAATGGTCTCCTTATAAATTGAAATACAAACAATTTAAAATAAATTTGTAAATTATTTGATTGTCATTCCAAAGAGAAAATGAAAACGTCATATGCATTTTTTAAGGTTTAAAGAACATAAGGCTTCAATGCAAAAACCTCGCCCCTTCTTTACGATTTACAATGGTTCTTGGAAGGCCTTTTTTTGGATTTACAACGGATCGATTCATGTTTAAATCGATCGATTGGGAGGGCCTTTATAGCATAGGATCAACAATCAATCGAAAAACACCTAAAATGAAGACATAAAAGTTGTTCTTTTCAAGGTTTCTTCAAATATTCCATGTTTTGATTATTATATCGACAATGTTATTTGCAAAAGTGTTCAGTGCATTAGGGCCTGCATATTTATTGTACAACAAAGGCATTGCATCTAAAAATCCTGTGCCGATTTTTTTTGGTGCAATCTACATCGTATGATTACATTAAAATGGGGCAAATTGTGGGGCTCACAATATTTTTAGTACGTAAAAATCCACACCAAAACTTTGATTTTTTTTATTTCCTAGCAAAGTCTCTCCTCACTCTCTTTCGCGCTACTAAGTTTTGAATTTTTGGACTTTTTGTAATTTTAAAAAAAAGCTAATTACACTTGTCATCCGAATCTTTTTCTAGCTATTTGGGGTGGGCTACAAGAATCATGATCCACTATTTTGCTTTATCAATAATCATTACTTTCAGTTAAATTATAAGTCACCATATCATTTTTGAAAAAAATCATCTAATAATTCTTCCGTAGTTCCCAAGTTTTGAGATTTAAAAAAATCCTCCATAGTTTTTCTTCTAACCGGAGTGGAAGCAAAAACTATGCTCCCAAACAAGCATTGCATACGTGGTCATATCTAAAATCGGCATTGCATACGTGGTCATATCTAAAATCCCAATCACTGTTTCAGTGCGCAACCCCTCTCTTTTTATGGCTACAATACTCTGACGGGTGAATATTAGGAAATGGGTTTTCTTTGTCTGTTTTTTATTTTAAACACTTGGCAAGCATGCAAAATATGTTATAATAAGGTTAGGGTATTTTGGTCATTAAAATAACTATTAAGAAATGGAAAAATTACATATATATCCGATATATTTTACGTTATTACATATGTATCAAATAGTTTCCATTATTACATGTATGTCTGTTTTTTATTTTTTATAATGTAATTTTTTAAAAAAGACATCTTTACTCTTTTTCGGATGTTGAACATCCGAAAAACACATACATACCCTTTTTCGGACGTTAAACATTCAAAAATTACATACATACCTTTTTTTTATTTTTTCTGATGTTGAACATCCGAAAATAGGCCAAAAGTTCATATTCCCATTTTTGGGTGTTGAACTTTTCAGATGTTTAACATCCAAAAATGATTTCGGATGTTGAACATCTGCAAATATCACATTTTCGGATGTACTGCGAAATGTGAAAAATGGGAATATGAGCGTTTAACTTTCGAGCTATTTTCGGATGTTGAACATCCGAAAAACCCTTCAATTCGGATGTTCAATACCCGAAAATGGGAATGTAAACACTATACTTTCGGCCCATTTTCGGATGTTCAACATCTGAAAAATGGTAACGTCGTCTTTTTTAAAAAAATTACGTTATAATGATAAAAAACGAATATACATGTAATAACGGAAACTATTTAATACATCCGTAATAACGCAAAATATAATAGATATGTATGTAATTTTCCCTTAAAAAAAATATGAGTAAAAAACTTAGGCCAACAATGCGACTTTTCTTTAGCGAAATTCAACTAGGTTACATCGGAGTTATGGCAATATAAGGATTAGGGTTTTTCGGTTTCTTATATATTTGGATACTTGAGATTTGTATTAAGTTCTTGTTGAAATAGTTTGAGAGGTCACTGAGCCCTAGTACAGAGGACTTACAACTCTCATTTGCTTCTTTTGTGAATCTCCTCTTATTTTGTCTCTTACTTGCTCGCATATCAACAATATAAAATTGGAGTGAGTCCATCCCCTCGGGTGAAACCAAGTCGATCTTAAACGCTTGCATTGTAATTTTGCCTAACTTGAGGTTTTCCCATGGGACCACCATTTACGCTTCATTGTATTCCTCTAACTTAAATAGCGCTAGCATAGTCCGGAAACGTTGGACATGGACCTATATAAGAAAATCCGATAATATGTGGGATTGGGATTAATATTGATAACTTTTCTAAAAGAAATAAAAATACAAAAAATTAGGACTCTGAAATATATCTGTTGATTCTTGAGATAAATGTAATAGCTATAGGAAGTTTTCTATT